TTTTATTTATTCATTTTTTAAAAGTTTGAGTTCTTTCTTAATTAATTATTTTTGGTTAATTCTCACCCAAGGATATTTTTCCATTGAATTTCAGATAGAGCGGAAGGGGGGGGGATGAAAGAGACACATCGATTGACTTCCTCCCCCATGACCCCGACCAGGGCCAAGGAATGAGCCTGCAGCCCAAGCATGTGCCCTTAACCGGGAACTGAACCCAAGAACACTGAATTGTATACTTGTAAAATGTAAATCTGATGATATATTATCATTTTAATAATTCTGCTAAAAGAAAAAAAAAAAAAATGAATGAGGGGAAAGCGACTGCCAAATGTGTCCCACTGAAATCCTTGCCAGATGCTGGCTATGAGCTGCTCTCCTAACAGCAAAGGAAGGAGACGGCTCCAGAAGGGTTCCAGAGTCACCTTCGGCTCAGGTATTATTAGTCACATGTGAGGAACATTAACATTCTCCTTTCCCAATTCACTTGGGTTTTCATGGCCACCACTGTGGTGGAAATGCCATGGGGCCTGAGGAGGGGAAGAAACTAAAGTTTTTAAGGGTTTAATAAATCTCAGGGTCAGTTGCAGGTGTTATATCTATCAGGCTCGTGAGATCCTCAGAACAACCTTCAGGGCAAGTAGTATCACCATTTTCCACATGAAGAAACTGAGACTCGGGACCACGGTAAAGGTGGCCTCCTCATAAAAATGTACTCTTAGGGTGTTAATGTGTCAGTAAAGCAACTTTGCTGGTCGATCCTGTCAGAGACCCTGGCCACAGCTTTAAAGTTCCAAGAGAGCAAAGGATGAGAGGCACGAACAGTGGAGGATGATGAGGCAAAAATAAGCTATACTTGGTGAATTCTACCCACCGCTCAGGGTTGCAGGAAGAAATAAAAGTCTCACAACCATTGGACCTATCTGCTTGCTCATATCTCCCTACCAAGGACCAGAGCAGTCTGGAGGAGAGTTCTTCCGGAGCACCCTCCAGGGACCGGTTCTAAAGTGGAATAAAATTGTTTTGCCCTATTCTTGGCTAAATTTTTCTTAGCAAAGAAAGAATTTGTATTGGATGGGGAAATAAAAGGGTAAGTTACTAACACCCTCTGACATGAAAGACAGAATCGGATTTCATATGTTATTAAATTTTCACCAAAAACTGAGAGGAAGTGAGAGACCTAATGTTGAGTTATTATTATTTTTTAATCTCTATTCTCATTCTTTATGCTCTTAAGAAAGAGATGGGTCAATGCCCTCAAAAGTAAAGGAAATAGAAGAAAGCGCAATGAGACATTCAGACAAATAAATAAAACATAGGGAAAATATAAATGGTGCTTTCTGAGCAATGAGAAACCCAAATGACCCTTGTTGTCTTGAGATTTATAAGTCTGCATGTCACAGACACCCTGTTGCTTTATTCATACTGTGAAGGGAGAAAGGCAGCCCCTAACCATCAGAACCCATCATTAAATCATTACTAAAGCACTATTGTTAAAGAGACAGGACTTTTAAAAAAAGACACACACACACACACACACACACACACACACACACAACAGTGTGCAATTTAATTTTATTAGAATTCTGGGTATTTAGATACTTTCTGTATTGCCTGGGCAACACACAGAGTCTTCAAAGCCACTGTTTTAGAGAAACGCATATGCTCAAATCAAGTTCTTTATTTGTTTCTTTTTCCAATCAGACCATTGGATTGAGGGTAGGTCTCAAATGGGTTGAAGAGAGACAGGTGGATTAGAATAAGGTGCATTTATTTTATACCATGCTACATTTAAGAATGTTAAGCTGACCACAACATATGTGCCTACTGACTATGCCAATTTTAAGAGGGATACTGATCAAGAGCACTGCCATCTTCCTTGGTCCTGACACCATTTCTGAGTTTTTTTCTGTTAATTAGATTACATATTTAAAGCTGCCTGGAAAGGCTGTTATATTCAGTATGAATTGCCACCAAACTTTCTATCATGTCTCCTAAATCAAAGCAAGGAGAGGTGGTAAAAGTTTAATTTGCTTTTGGTGTTGTTTTACGTCTTAGCTTTAGATAGCAAATATTGTGCTCATGTTGGTACACATTATGGTCACATATAAAATCCCTGGGTCTCTTGATCCCTGAATTAAGGAACATTCCTCACCCATTGTGATCTTCCAATTTTAGAAATGGGCATATATACATTAATTTGGTTTACAGCAAATTATACACATTCATCGAAGGATTACTGAAACTTCACTTCCTGGGGGAAACTTATTGACCAATCACAGCCCCCCCATTCATGTTCTTACTATTAACAGCTTTATTAAAATAACAATATACCATAAGATTTACCCTTTAAAGTATACAATTCAGTATATTTTAAAACTGTATCTTTACTATTGAAAATATTACAGATATCCCTCCTTTTTTCCACCCTTTGACCCCCTCCTCCCGACACCCACCCCCTTGCTTTCATCACACTGCTGTCTGTGTCCATTGGTTAACATCCCCACCTTGAATTTTATAGCATCATTATGTCTACTGTCTGTTATCTATTTGGACCTTGGCATAGGTTTAGGCCTTAATTTAACTGGGCATGGTTTTGAAACCTCAGCTAAATGTTCAACTCCTCAATGAATGAGAATAGACTTTAAATTCCCCTTCAATACACACCTGCTCCGAAAATTCCTAGAAAAATGTTTCACTGCCACGTTTACTCAGTCGTTTATTCACTTATTTGTCCATCAAACATAATTATCTGTTCCCATTGCTTATTGAAAGGGGAGTAAGTGGCTACATGCACATTAATGAGATATTTAAATCAATACAACTTTTATAAAAATGAAAGTAATATACTAACAGAATGAATTGAGTGCCCCCCAGTTACAGTAGAGTAAGGAGATACTTTGATACACAGTTTTGTTACTGCTGTGGCAGGTATTAGCAGAGTCCTCCAAACACTACAAGAAGTTCCAGGTGAGATTTATAACGGGCAAGACAGTCTCGTTGCAAACATAAGCCGTTGGTCGAGGTATGTGGAAAGCCCAGGTGACTTGCATTGTTGTTTACTAGATGAATCTTTTTTATTCACTGGCTATTCCACTATTTTTATTGAACTTCAAAAACAAATAAGAGCAAGTTTTCAAGTGTTACTTTCTTTGCATGTCCTAGAGGAGAGACAACTTAGTTACAAATTGGAAGTACACTCTAGGTGTCATTGAGGAAAAGAAGAAATGGGTGAAAGAGTTACACTGTGACATTCTGTATCATTTCACCCAGTTTAGAGCTACTTTTGGTGAGGATGGGAGGGTGGTAGGAGGAGGAATGTCGGGTTGAGGTGCTAATGATTTTTTGATGAACGATGGGACTTGCTGAGCAGGGACCTTAGGTGCTAGGTGGCCGTGCTGCACAACCTGGAGGTGTCAGTCATATCAGGGTCCATGTGAATGGTGCTTCCTGGGGCTGTGCAGTGGAGCTGTGGAGGATGCAACCTGCAAGGTCACCCTGCATAATTGCCTGGGTCTGATCTTAGGGTTGATATCTAGGTGTCAGCACTCAGGACTATTTTGAGGTCCCATGTGTGAAAGTTTCTATCCAGGGCAGTGATGTCATTAATGCTTAGAGAGAATATCTGTAGAAAAATCCATTCACTTATCATTGCTCCAGAAAATTATGTTTCTCCTTTGAAAAATGTCACTGTTCATGTGCATATCCTTTGCTTTTCTATCCCTTGGGTACCTCATACTTAATGTGAGGCTTTTTTTCCTTTCCTTTTTGGCAATTAGAGTGCAAAGGTGCCCATGAGGACTGAGGGTTTGGCAGAATTTTACTAATGAACACAGGGGTGCCTACCACTGGCAGAAAGAACCACAACTTATTTTGAAAACATTCATTTGAGCTAAAAATGATAAATTTGTATTTATCTTCTTAAAATGCTCCCAAAGGGAAAGGGAAAGGGAAAGAGAGCTTTGTAAAGTGTATAGACCAGAGAAAAGAAGGAGGCAAAATCTTCCCTTCCCAATAGTTTATCTTCTTTGATACTTCCCAATGGGCATTGGGTACATTTCCAGACTGTATTTTGAAAGATAAAATAAATATTTTATTTAACCAGCTGTATTCCAGAATATGTAACTATCAAAAGCTTCATTATGAAGGTCTAGAAGAGGCTGCTTTACTTAGCACATATAAGCCAGAAGAAAGTGTTCCTTAAATACGAAATGATGGGTAACATTCCTGGACATCGTAATAGCTGGCACTTTTGATAGCTCTGCAGTAGTTTCCCACACTTCTGTCTGGTGAAGTTGCTCATGCTATCTAAGATGCTATACGTGTTCCCTAGGGCCATTTCCCCCCAATTCTTTTTTTAAAAAATTCTTACCAGAGGACATTTTTCTATTTTTTGTTCAGATAGAGTAGGAGGGAAAGAGAGGGAGAGAGAGAGAGAGAGAGAAATATCCATGTGAAAGAGACACATTGGGTGGCTGCCTCCCACATGACCCCAGCCAGGGCCAGGGACAAACTGCAACCAAGGTAGGTGCCCTCAGCAGGAACTGAACTCGGGTCTCTCTGGACCGCAGGGTGACTGACGCTCTAACTCCTGAGCCAAATTGGCCAGGGCTCCCCCCAATTCTTATATATTTTGTAAGAAAGGCGTGCTTAAATATTTTGAAAGATAAATTAGAATGAATGAAGAAATCTTGGATGTTCATAAAAGAAACAACAGCTCAATTTTCCCCCAAATGAGAAATACATTGTTGAGAATTAATTCAATTGTAATACAATTAGGTTAAAACATAGGAGTAAGTATATAGATAATTTTTTTTTCTATATTACTTATAAAAATAATTAATTTTGGTGCTTATCCAACATTAATGTGCACATGAATCAACTGAGATATTGTTTAAAATGAACTCTGATTTGGGAGCCCCTCCCAGGGTGCCAGGGATGTTGGTCCACAGATCACTCTTGTAGTAAGGCTTCCATCCCACTACTAAGAATATAGTTGGCACTCTCCTCTTCTTGGTGGGTGTAGGCATGCGGCCCAGTCCCTGTAATAATGTACCGGGGCTGAGGAAAAGGGTCCCACCCCCCTTGGCATCATGTCTTTGGTGATCATGCTTTTCAGTCCACCCCTTCTATCCTCAAGCACCAGGACATGGGGAGATAGAAGAATACTGTTTGGCAAATAACAGTCACTCAATAAACATTTGCAAATAGGTAAATGAATGTATCAATAAATGAATTGCAGGCAAACTCTTAATTTCAAATTCCTTTTAAAATTGTCTCCTGGATGTGTTAATTGCAGAGTTTAGTGAACACAAAAAAACATTGGTAATTATACCAGACCAGGAAGTGATAAAATGTATAGTTTTTCAAGCAAAAAAAAAAAAATGAACACTTTTTGTTGTAGAGAAAATAGAAGTACAGTATGTAATGCCATTACTTTATTCAAAATAGGAAAAGAGAGTCAGAAAAGTCAAGTTCAAGAAGCCACATGATATAATTAAAAATGATTGTTGGAGGAGGAAGGTGGTTATATAGGACACACCTGGGGTCAAACCTTACTTACTTTGTCTGCTGTGTGGCCTTGGGAAATCACTTCACTAACCCTCAGGATTCTCCTCAAAAAAAAAAAAAAAAAAATGGAGAGAAGTAGTTTTGAAGTTAAATGTCTGCACACTTGCATTTCTGCAGGGTAGATAGCTAGGAGTAGAATTGTGGCAAAATGCATAAACATTTTAAATCTTAATATAGGCATCACGCTTTCCTCCTAAACAAGTTATTTGTTATTCATTTTTATTTTATTATCATGTGCACTAATAACAACAGAGGTAAGATTAGATATTATTGACTGCCTACCCAGAATCCACTGCCTCCCCCAGTAACCCAAATCACCTCTGCTGAAAATAGACCAAACTTTAATTGGGGTTTCTACCCCTCCTTTTGCAATGTGTTTTTTTGTTTGTTTGTTTGTTTAACTTTATTTTATTGTTGACACTATTGAAGATGTCCCTATTTCCACTCTTTGCTTACCTCCACCCTGCCCCAACTTCCCTCTGGCCATCACCACTCTGTTGTCTGTGTCTGTGAGTTACGCATATATGCTCTTTGGCTAATCCCTTCACCTTCTTTCATCCAGTCCTCCCTCCCCTCTCCCATCTGACAGCTGTCAATGTGTTCCATGTATCCATGCCTTTGGTTCCATTTTTATTCATCAGTTTATTTGATTCATTAGATTGCACACATAAGTGAAATCTTACGGTATTTGTCTTTCTCAGACTGGCTATTTTACTTAGCATGATAATCCCCAGGTCCTTCCATGCTGCCACAAACGGGAAGGTTTCCTTTTTTATGACCACGTAGTATTCCATTGTATAACTGTACCACAGCCTTTTTATTCACTCATCTACTGAAGGGCACTTGGGCTATTTCCAGATCTCGGATATTATAAATAATGCTGCTATGAACATAAGGATTCATATATTGTTTCTGACCCTTATTTTGGGATTCTTAAAATATATTCCTGGAAGCAGGATCCCTAGGTCATTTTTAATTTTTTTAGGAAACTCCATACTGTTTTCCACAGTGGCTACACCAGACTGCATCCCCACCAACATGCACCAGGGTTTCCTTTTCTCCGCATCCTCACCAGCACTTGTTTATTGATTTATTGACGGCAGCCATTCTGGCTGTTGTGAGGTGATATCTTATGGTTGGCATCTCTCTGATGATTAGTGACATTGAGTATTTTTTCATATGTCTCCTGGCCATTTGTATGTCCTGTTTGGAGAAGTATCTGTTCAGTCCTTTGTCCACTTTTTAATGCCATCTGTTTGTTAAAGAACTCTGACCCCACATCATCCCCAGTTCAAAAACCTGGTTCAATCAATATGTTCTATTTTCCTAGCTACTGCACTTATTAAGCATTTGTTTTAAGCGATCTAATAAAGTCGGTTTCTGGACTCTAACTAGAGATACTTGGGGGAGGAGTTCTCTTTATGTCCTTGAAGTTGGTGGTTGGTGTGTACACGTGAGGCATGGAACTGCAGCAGCAAACGTGACCTCATGGTGGAGTCCAATCGGAGGAGGAGCCTGGCACTATAAAGCAAGTGGGAAGGCAGAACTGAGTCCGTCTGAATCAGTCCAGTCCTGCAGGGAGATCCTTTGTAGAACCTCCACTTACATGAAGCCAGTTGCAGTATGTGTTCCGACATACGTCTTTATAACTCCTCTCTTGTGTTCTGCTATTTTTTCCAATCATCTTGGACCTAAGGATACTCAGGAAGATAATCTTCTAAACAATTCACCTTCCCAAATACCTCTAAAAGAATCTGGTCACCTGAAGAGTTTCTCTTTTGTTCTTGCAGCCCACCTTCCACTGTGTTCCGTTTCCCATGAAAAATGCTTATCAGTTGCTCAGGTGTGCGGGATACCGTGCCAAATCTCATTTTAATTTCATTTTCCTTGATCCCCTTTAGAGGAGAGGCATCCCCTCTCTGAGGGTTGGCATCATCACACCATAACTTGGTCATAGTCAGGCTCATGACTCCATTTTGAGCCTGAGCCAAAGGGAAAACTTCCTTTGGGTCCAAGTAATTCAGATGCTGTTGCTGATAAAATAAAATTTAGAAAGCCTGGAAATAGAGCTTGACTTCTGAGTCATCATGGAGCCAGCCAGTCTCTCCCCGGATTTGTCTAATAAATGTTAAGAGAAGAATTATTAAGATCCAGGGAGCACAGTGACACTTACGATGCAGAGGGAATGGAAAGGCTGTTAGAAAACAGCCCCGTAGACTGTTGACGTGGGTGTGGTCCAGGCTGATCACTGCTCAGGCAAGACCAGGGCATCCCACAAGCCACAATGACAGGCCAGCACAGACACAGGTGTTGGTGGATGAAACGTGGCCCAGGAAGTACAATATAAAGGCCTGGAGGTGTTTACCTGCTGTGACACCATCTAGCAGTAGGGTTTCCATGGCTGCTCTGCAGGGCTCACTCCTGTGTAGGACTGATCTTGATGTGCCTGCCATTTTTCTCTTCCTCTTTCTGTCATCTTTTCCCATATCCAAAATGTCTTCAGACAAAATCCAGGGGCAGCCTGAACCCAGTTATGTAGCCGCTGGACTTGAGGACATAATATGGTGCAGACTGTATAATATGAAGCAAATCTACCTGTGTTCAAACCAGGAAATATTTTTCAGATGTCTGAAAAACACTCCTTAAATATTTTTGAAATCGATCATTCTCTCTCAATATATCGTTTTACCTTGTTAGTTGTGGCAGCCAGACTCCATGGTGGCCCCAATAGCCCTCATCTAGTATTTTCACACTGGTGTAGTGCCCTTCCACATTGCATGAGGGTGGATGGAGGACACGCCTGTTGATGACTGAAATACCCCCTTCCCACCCTCTCTTGAGGCAGGAAGCCACGAGAGCACAGATTTATAACCAACAAAGGAAGTCTGAAGCTACTAGAGATAGGATGACAGAGGGGAGGAGTGGTCCTGTCACTAAGGCCCAGCCTAAAGAAAATTTCTAGGCCCTTGCAAGGTTCAGAACACGCAGCAGAGTCCTAGAAAGCTGGGAGACAGACACGAAATGAATTACTTCACAAGGTCGTACACTGTAGCTCAACGAAAGGAATACACTCCGAGAGAGAAGGTAGAATGGCCCCTGTAATTGAGGTCTGTTGGTTTTTCTGTTTGTCTATGCATGCACTCTCCACCCAATGGGTCTTAAGCAGGCAGTAAAGCCCTGGTGTGGATGTAACTTCTGCACACAGCTTTGCAGTAGGAAGAAATGCTTCTTCATCACTTCTTGACATTTTCAGTAGGACAAGAAAAGGTGACGTATGCCATATACAAAATCCCATGCTTTAAACTACCTGTAGGAATTTGTAAAAAATTCAGAGATGGATATTTACTCATTTTATAGAAAGGCTGTCTCTTGTGCTGTAGAAAGGATACTTTAACCAGGCATTGATTCTAGAGCTTATTTTGCCAATCATAGAAGGCTGACTTTTGGTATACCTTTAAATTTATCTGAGGGTCAGCTTTTACATAAGTAAAATGGGACGCTTTAAAAGCATGCTTTGAAAGTTCTTGACTCTTAATACCCTGAGATTCTATTTTTGTTATACCATGGATCTTTCAATCATAGAGGCTCTGTATATAATTACAACAAGAGAAATACCCCCTTCAGCCCTTACCCATTATGCCCTCAGCACATTGGGTCTAACAGAGTGAAAACAGCCTGGTGCAAGGAAGGTTCCAGGGTGATCAAAGGGTCAAGAAATAGGATTTTTTTTCCCTAAGTCAATAACACAAGTTTGTGTCAAGAGTTCCTGTGTTACTAAGGACAGTCAGAAATTTTAAGTGACTTGCACTTAAAAGCACTCATGGCTGTTTCACTCAAGTAAGTGAAATGGATCCAAAGATGAAAGTCCCATTTTTTTTTTAATAGTCACAAATCCAAATTAAGGAGAGGTGTCTGCAAAAGCCTTTGATTATAGATCATAAAATCTCCAGCTTATATCAGACACTGTAAAATTGCTCAGTGACAAATGAAATGCCTAGGCACTAAATATATCTCTTAAGCACCTTGCAGTTCAGGTACGTTTATCTCTGAGATATAATAGTACTTCTACAGGTCACAGGTACAAGGTCAGAAATGCTGGTTCTGCTGGTTTTGAATGTATCACGTAATGGCCCATTATCTGAGGACATGGGCAGAGGCTTCAAGCAAATACACAGACTATATTTCATGTGGATACTTCAGAAGCCAACAGACCAGCCATATTTAGAAATAATGATAGACCAGACCCAGCATGCGCATGTATGGCTCAAAAACCACAGGGACCCAACGGGATTCAGCTTTGTAACAATAGCTTGCATCTGTGTGGTGTTTTGTAGTGTTTCAAAGAACTTTCACATATAGTACCTCATTTGATCTTCACAGCAACATTGTGAAGTTGGCAAGGCAGGAATTATTCTCCTCATTTTATAGAATAGGAAACTAGACTCAAAGAGGTGAAGTGACTTGGCCAAGGTCACGCAGATGGCATGCAACAGAATCACAGGATTTGAATATCCACCTTCTGACTTCATGTTCCATAGCTGTTGCATTGCAGCTAGCAAACAGAAACTGATAATGTCGGTTC